GCCTGGGGCTGGCTGTCCACGCGCAGGTAGATGGTGCCCGTGGTTTGGTTGATGGCAAAGTATGGCGAGGGCTTTGCCAGGGAGTAGAGCACAACGCCGTCGGCCCCCTCGTCCTCGTCTGTTGCCAGCACCCGCCCGATGCTCTGCCCTTTGTGGGCACCCTCAGGGACCTCGAAGTTGAAGGAGGGGCTCAGGAAGATGGGGTCGTATTCGTCCTCCCCTGTCACCAGCACCCGCACGGTCACCGTGGCGGAGGCGTTGCCAGCGTCGGTGGCCCTGACCAGGAGCTGGAAGGCTTTGGCTCGTTCATAGTCAAAGGTGAGCCGGGAGCGCAGCTCCCCGGAGCTGCTGTTGACGGTGAAGGCGTCCCGGCCCTCCGCCACACCGGGCTCCCCCGCCGCTTGCTCCAGCACCGTGTACCGCAGCTCCCCGAAGACACCGGTGTCGGCGTCGACGGCGCGCAGCGTGGTGACCAGCGTGCCAGGAGGCAGGTTCTCCCGCATGCTGGCGCTCAGCACCTCCACCGGGAAGTACGGCTTGTTGTCGTTGACATCCTTCACCTCGATGGCTACCGGCACCAGTGCAAAGTGCCCGCCTGGCACGTCCGTGGCCTGCACCACGAGCGCGTGCAGTGCCTGAGCCTCCCGGTCCAGGGGCCGCGCCAGGCACAGGGCCCCCGTGCTCTCGTGGAGCTGGAAGAGCCCACGCTGGTCGCCTGAGCTGATGGTGTAGCGAACGTGGCCACGGGGCCCTGAGTCGGCGTCGTGGGCCACCACGCGCAGCAGCTCCGTGCCGGGTGGCGCGCTCTCGCTCACCGCCGTGCGGTACTCGGCTCGGGCGAAGACGGGCGGGTTGTCGTTGACATCCCGCACGGTGATGAGCACGGGCACTGTGGCGCTGCGCTGCGGCAGGCCCCGGTCCGACGCTGCCACAGTGAGGTTGTAGACCGGGATGGCCTCAAAGTCCAAGGGCTCCACGAGCACCAGGGCACCCTGCGTGCGGAGGTGCCCCCCGGCCCAGGCCACCCGGCTCTCCACCTGGAAGGCGTTGCCACTGTTGCCGCTGACGATGGTGTAGTCGAAGCCGGCGTTCTCCCGGGAGAGGTCGGCGTCACCGGCCTCCAGCGTCAGGACAGTGGTTCCGGGGCGCAGGTCCTCGGGGACACTGGCGTTGTAGCGCGGCACCTGGAAGCTGGGGCTGTGGTCGTTCATGTCCAGCACCTGGAGCTGCACTGTGGCCCAGGATGAGAGGCTGGGAGAGCCGCGGTCACGGGCCTCCACCACCAGGTCCAGCGTGGGCTGGCTGGCGTCGAATTCCACCCGCCGGACGGTGAAGAGGGTCCCTGTGAGGGCACAAAGCCAGAGTCAGCGCGGGGCCAAGAGGGAGCTGGGGAGGGCGTGAGGGGCATGGGCTGGAGGAACGGGCGTCCAGGATGCTGCGCCGGGACTGCTCGGTGGCCACGGCACCACGTCTGCCCCACTGGCCTCTCCAGAGAGCGACCTGGCGAGGGGCCGAGCCTGGGCCAGTGTGGGGGCACCTCCCTCCGCAGCGCTGTCAGAGCCCCCCGCGGACCGGCCCCGCGTCGCAGCCAGCCCCGGCCCCGCGCACCGTTGCTGGGGTCGATGGCGATGTCAGGGCTGGGCACGGCCAGGTGGAAGGTGACGTCCCCGTTGCTCCCCGAGTCTGGGTCGGTGGCGCTCACGGTGAGGATGATGCTGCCTGCGGGCGTGTGCTCCGGCAGTGTCACCTGGAAGAGGAGGAAGCCCCAGTCAGCGCCGGGTGCCCCAGGGAGGGGCCCGTTTCTCCTTGCCCGGAGCCAGCCCGCAGCACCGGGAGAAGGCCTGGGGCTGGCCAGCGCACCGACAGCCAAGGGGGCCCAGCTGCCCGCTGCCCAGGTCCCGTCCGCACAGCACCGAGCCTTGTTAGTGCGGCTCCCACCCAGCTTCAGCATCCAGTTCCCAAACCTTTTCTCTACTTTGCTGTGCTGAAGAACTCCTTAATAGCTGATAATTTCCCAACAGAGGGTATTTTGCACCAAACAAGCCCGCTGGTTTTGGTGTGCCACACGGCACGTACAAACGAGCAGTTCCGCTGGTCTGTGCTCTCACAGCCTTCGAGCCTTTCCGGGGCTTCCCAGCTGCTCGTCCCTCTGCTCCAGGGACACAGCACATCGCTTTCGTGCAGCGACCTGCCCGTGGGGCCCCAGGCCAGGCCTCACCACGCACCCTTGTGCAGGCTGTGCCGCGGCTCCCACCTCTCCTGCCCTTCCCACCACTCCCACCCCCGCCAGCACGTGCAGTCTGCTCGAGGGGTGTCGGGGTGTGACGGGAGCCCAGGAAGAGCGCCCAGGCCTGGCTCAGACCCCTCCTCACGGGGATCTCTGCCTCTATGGCCGGGTGAGCAGGGCGGGAGCGGGCTCGTGCGGGGCGGCCGGCGCTGCCTGGGGCACCCGCGGGCACGGTACCTGGTACAAGCCCTGGCTGAAGATCGGTGCGTTGTCGTTGACATCCTCCACGATGACGGTGAGGTTGGCCTCGGTCTCGTGGCGGGTGTCAGAGGCACGCAGGGTGAGGGTGTAGCGGCTGCACTGTTCGTAGTCCAGCGGCGCCGTCAGGGCGATGCGTCCCCCATACCGCAGCACACTGAACGTGCCCGCGGCGTCGCCATCCAGCACCAGCGTGTAGGAGAGCGTGGGGCCCGAGTCCACGTCGTTCCCGGTCAGCTGGGCGATCTGCGTGCCCAGCAGCGTGTCTGTGCGGAGGAGAGGCGTGAGCAAGCGGCCTCGTCTCCCTGGAGAGGACCTGGCTCACGCAGGGGGAAACCAGCTCAGCCCAGAGCCTGAGCACTGGGGACAAGAGGGGGGACTCTGGGGGTCAAGGGGAAGGTCTTGGGAGCCAGGCAGGGCAGGTGGAGGCTGGCACAGGCACAGGGCACACGGACCGAGGACAGAGAGCGGGCAGGGCAGGCGTGTGCAGCCAGAGCCCCTGCGGTGCGGGCAGGGGCCAGGGGGGAGCTGGGGATTCAGCTGGTGCCACCACGGACGGGGCCGAAGAGCTCGGGGGTAGCACAAGCCAGCCCTTGGCACAAGGGGGGTTGGCACAAGCCAGCCCTTGGCAAGGGAACGCACGGGCCCCTCTGGGCCTTCTCCCGACCCACACGGCACCGTCGGTGAGGCGTTACCTCGCTGGGCCCAGCTGCACTTACTCTCTGGGACGCGCACCTCCCAGGGAAACGGGATGGTGGGGCTGTTGTCGTTGACGTCCATCACCACGACCGTCAGTGTGGCAGAGCCCACGAGTGGCGGAGTCCCTCTGTCCATGGCTGTTACCACCAAACTGCGGGCAAGCACCAGAGTCACCGCCGCGGCCGCACGTGCGAGGCAGCACAGGCAGCGTCTGGAAGGCGGCGGCGGGGCTGCAGCCTGTCCCTGTGGCACTGGAACCGCGCGCAGCATCTGGCGCATCTGGGGCGACGGATACGTGCGGAGCGTCTGGAGAGCACGTGTGGGGCAGTGGAAGTGTGTGCAGCGAGAGCACAGCGGGGCAGGGCAGCGGGTGGGCATTTGGAGGGCGGCGGGGCTGGGTCCAGCACCCGGAACACCCGAGCGGGCGGGGAATGGGGGCACAAGGGTCTGGAGCACATGGGGGGGACGCAGGCAGGGCTCGTGGTAGGGTGCAGCAGGACAGGCACCTGGAGCACGTCTGGGTGCTGGGGAGCGCGTGAAGCCCCTCTGTGGAAGGGTGATGGGCATGGGAAGGGGATGAACGCCCGAGGCCTCCCCATGCCTGGGAAGGGAGACCCGCAGCCCTTGGAGCACGCGCGGGCGGCAGAGAGCGCAGCCTGCACTGAAGTTGTTCCTTGTGCCTGGACCGTGCACGTGTGGAGGGCAGAGGAAGACTCAAATTCAATGTGTTTGCCATCATCTTACACGCCTGTGGCCAGACTGGCTGGATGATGCCCACGGTGTGTGCACACAGCGAGGCACCCAGAGCACCTGGGCTGAACCCGGGAGGAGCTGCAAGAGGGTCCAGGGCAGGGCACAGCGCCCGGAGCGCGTGCGGCGGGGCAGAAGGGCGCAAGGGGCAGCGGGGAGGGACTGGGCGTACGTGGTCTGGATTGAGCTGGCAAGGAAGGGAATGGATGCAGGCTCCGAAAAGAGCCCACCGCCCCCCTCACAACCCTCCCCGATTTGCAGGGACCAGGCTGGGCAGAGCACTGGCTCATCCCAAGGCCATCCGTCATGCCTCCAGCACTTTTGCTCCCCACATGAACACTAAGTTCCTGCTGTTGGGTGAAAACATTTTACAGACGGGGCTGGGACAGCTTTGGGTGGCACGGAGTAGCAGAGTGTCCTGCACAGCCCTGAGGGTGCTGCTCCACAGCTCTGCCCGCCTCGTACCTGCGGCAGCAGTCAGTCTGGCTCCACTCACCGGGTCTGGGACCAGATCTCCCTGTCCAGGATGGCAGCAGTGGTGATGGCCCCAGTCTGAGGATCGATGTGGTACAAGCCTGTCATCGGCAGGGACTGGTTGATGGCATAAGTGACCTGCCCGTTGGCTCCCTGATCCAGATCATCTGCCAGGACCTGCAAAGCCACACGAGAGACCCAGCAGTGCAGCCGTGGAGCCCTGCGAACCACAGGCCTCCAAAGCCAGAACTCTGCTGGGCGTCAGCCCCGGGCCTGGGGCGCAGCCCCACGCTGGCAGCGAGGCCCCGTGGCCGTTTGTGTCCCTGGCGATACCTGGATGACTGGCGAGTCGTAGCTCTGGGACTCCCAGATGAACGCCACGTAGTTCTGCAGCTGGAAGCGTGGCAAGTTGTCGTTCACATCTTGCAGGTTGAGGTTTATGGCCATAAAGCCGAAGGAAGCTGCCGTCTCTGCCTGGACCACCAGGCGCAGGCGGGGGCTGGCCTCGAAATCCAGGCTGCTGGAGTCCTGAACCGAGATGGCGCCTGGGAGCAGGGAAGCAGCACGGTGGAGCGGGGGCGAGTGGTGCCCCAGCACCTCCACCCCTCATCCCCTTCCTTTGGTCCCTTGGTCTCAGGCCAGCCCTCTGCTCATCCATCCCTTCCCGAACGGACCCAGCGAGCCCAGGGAGCTCCTGCGAGCCCTCCCCGAACGGGACGGCTGGCCCAGGCCCAGGGACCTGCCTGGAGGGTAAATCCTGCCCCTGGCTCAGGACACGGCCCCTGCTCCCATGGACCCGGGCAGTTTCAGAGGGCTCCACGTCAAGCCCCCGCAGGAGCGGCCAAGCTGCCAGCCCGGCTGGGGGGAGCGCCAGCAGCTCTGCGGCAGGGGCTCCGAGGACAGACGTCCCTTCCCATCCTCCCGCGGCTGCGCACCCGGGCTTCTGTCACGTCCCCCCCGAGAAGGTGGAGAGCCCCAGAGAGACCCAGAAACGACTGCAGCATTGCCACGGGCCTGGAACCATGGGCACGGAGACGCCCGAGCTGACGGGATGAAGGGATGTGAAGGGACAGGGATCAGAGGGGACGTGACTCTGCGACCCCCCAGGCCGCAGCATGGCGTGGCAGCCGGGCCAGTGTCAGAGCCTCTGCCAGGGGCACCGTTGGGCACCGTGAGCCACTGGTCTTCTCGCCCAGCCTGGCTCTGAGCTGGACAGACAGGACAGGGCTCGGCTCTGGCAGCCCCATGGCCAGTCTGGGGGTCACCGGGGGTTCCTGTCACCCCCGGGCTGTCACAGCAGCCCCTTTCAGCCCTGGGGGGCCGCTCTAAGGTCTCCCCGGAGCTTCTCTCCTCCAGCTGAACCCCCCAACTCTCCCAGCCTGTCCTCACAGGGGGGCTCCAGCCCCCCCAGCATCTCCGTGGCTCCTCTGGCCCCGCTGGAGCAGGTCCGTGTCCTTCTGCTGTTGGTGCGCCCGAGCTGGACCCAGCCCTGCAGGGGGGTCTCCCAGAGCGGAGCAGAGGGGGAGAATCCCCCCCTGGCCCTGCTGCCCCCCCTGCTCTGGGTGCAGCCCAGCACACGGGGCCTTTCTGGGCTGTGAGCACACATTGCCAGCTCATGCCCAGCTTTTCATCCACCAGTACCCCAAGTCCTTCTCCTCGGGGCTGCTCCCAATCCCTTCATCCCTCATCCCCTGCTGATACTGGGGGCTGTGATATCCCAGTCTCTTCTGAACTACAGGGCAAGCGCCGACCTCGCAGCGAGGCACCCCCCACCCTACCCTCAGCCAGGCTTTCTGGGTGCCAAGGCACGTGTGGCCCTTCCAGGGTTGTCCCTCATGCCATGGGGTGCAAACCAAGCCAGCTCGCCCAGTGTCTCTGGGCAGCACCCTGCAACCCGCCTCACGGCTCCGCCTGGGCTACCAGGCACCCGCCAGCGCCGCTGGCCCGCTCAGCACTGCCGCCCAGGCCCTGGCAGAGCACAGGCTGCCTCCGTCCCGCCCCTCCCTGGGCGGCCCCGGTGCTGTACCTGAGCCGGGCTGGATAAGGAAAGCGTTCTTCTCATTGCCGCTGACGATGCTGTACGTGATGCGCCCCGAAGAGCCCCCTGTGTGCGTGGCTTGGATGCTCGTCACGGCAGTGCCTGGAAGAGAGCAGAACGGCGTGAAGGGGCAGCAGAGTGCCAGGGAAGGTGGCAGCGAGGGCCCGGGCGGTGTGTGGGCAGCGCACACCGTGCCACAGGAACACAGCTCTGCCCGAGGACGCTGCTGCCAGCGGGAGCGAGACCTAGTGGTAACTTTGAGCCGGGAGCCAGGATCTGTGGGGCCTGTCCGTGGGCCCTCGGTGGGCTCGCTGCGACCCTGAAGCCCTTCCAGGAGCAGCTGTGACTGCCTACACTGCTCTGAACCCACAGGGGTTGCCACCCTGGACCGCCTGGGCACCAGCCAGACCTCTGGGTCTGCCCAAAGCACCACGGGGCTCCTCAGTGCTCCCTGGTTTGAGTTTCCACAGCCGTGCCAGCCCAGCGCCCCCCTCCTGCCCCGTCCCGTCCCATTTCATCCCAGCACTCGCTGGTCGCTCTGCCCGGCTGGTACCTGGGGCAGCGTTTTCTGGCAGGGCCACGTCACTGGTGCTCCGGGGAAAGCGCAGCCCCCGGTACGGCTCCTCCTGCACGTGGATCACCACCACGCCGGTGGAAGAGAGCGCCGGCTGCCCCAGGTCTGTGGCCAGGATGAAGAGCGTCCGCTGGCGCTGGCTGAGCGAGCCCAGGGGCTGCAGCAGCTGGATATCCCCCGTGTAGGAGTTGATGGCGAAGGCAGGGTTGGGCGTGGCGAGGCGGTACAGGATGGAGGCGTTGGCACCTGCGTCCCTGTCCTCCGCCCTCATGGTGGCCACGACCTGCTTGAGCGGCGTGTGGCGGGGCAAGGCGACAGTGAGCGGGCTGTGCAGGAAGGCAGGGGCATGGTCGTTGACATCCCGCACCGTGACGGTGACGCGCACAGCCGCGCTCTTGGGCTCCCACGGGGCCGCGTCCACTGCCCTGGCCAGGAAGCTGTAGCGGGGGTGGCGTTCCCGGTCCAGTGCCTGGGCGCTTCTGACGCGCCCGCTCTGCGGCTCCACCTGGAACGTGCCGAGGGACTCATTGCCCAGGTAGTAAGAGACCTGCCCATTGGTGCCCTCGTCGGGGTCTTCAGCCACCAGCTGCAGCACCACAGCACCAACAGGCAAGTCCTCTGGCACCTCCACCACGTAGCTGGCCTGAGCGAAACCAGGCGCGTTGTCATTGAGGTCCAACACCCGCACGTTCACTGCCATGGTGGCACTGCGCGGGGGGGTGCCGTGGTCTTGCACCACCACTGTGAGGCTGTAGGAAGCAACTTGCTCCCGGTCAAGGGCACGTGCCGTGGAGAGGACACCAGTGACTGGGTTGAGGCTGAAATCCTGCCCAGGGTCTCCATCTGGGAACGAGAGGGGGGGTAACAAGGCAGCGTGACTATAACTGCTACGAGGAAGGACCTGCCCTACGCTGTCCAGAGAGGACACCGTGGAATCCACCCTAGCATGGCCTGGCAGGGAGGGTCGAGTGAGCTGTTCCCTGTAAAGCCCCAGTGGGACTGAACCTCCTCGGTCCAGTCCCACGTGTGTAAGAACAGGCCAGTGCTGCTGCCACAGATAACGCACGGGGTGGTAACGGCAGAGATCTCCCTTCACAACCTGGAAACTCAACGGGTCAGGAGCCAAGAGAGGCAGGGAACGAGTCCAGGCCTGGGGAACGAGGGAGTGCAGCCTGGCCAGGTCTTGGGGTGCTCTTCACTGGGGGCAGAGGAACCGGAGGGCTGAGGGGGCAGCAGCAACGTGTAGGGGAGAACTGAAGCGGAACAGACGCTGCCGTGAGCCACCCGGGGTGGCGAGCCCTTGCCTCCTGCTGAGATGAAGGCACAGAGCTCCCTGCACACCTCACCTGCCACGTGGTACTCCAGGCGCCCATTCTCGCCGCCGTCGGGATCGGTGGCCCGCAGGGTGTAGAGTGCCACACGGCTTTGGTTCTCAGGGACCTCCACGGAGCAGGACGCACTCTCCAGCTGTGGCGCGTGGTCATTCTCATCCCCTACCGTTATCCGCACCGTCACTTTGGAGAGGTTGGGGGGCAGGCCCCCATCCCGAGCATAGACTGCAGGGACACAGCAGGAGCGCTGCAGGCTGCCCTTCTGCCTGGCCGCGGCACACCCCAGCACCCGGTCGCTCACAGGGGCAGCCAGGCACGGCCGCCCCACAAGCCCCGCAGACCCCCATCGCCTCCCCGGGCCCCCCGCCCCGAGCTGCCGCACCCCCACAGCAGCACAGCCCTACCCGTCAGCACGTGCTGCTCCTGCTGCTCGCGGTCCAGGGGCTGGGTGGTGACAATAAGCCCCGTCTGTGGGTGGATGGAGAACGGCCCCCCCGAAAGGCCCCCGTAGGACACCTGCCCATTGGCACCTGCAGCGGGAAGGTGGTTGAGGGCAGTCCAGCAGCAGCCCCCACAGCCTCTCCCTCGGGTCACTGCCCCGCACCTCCCTCCTCCCAGGCCCCCCCCAGCCCCGCGCTGTTGGCAGAGGATGGTCTCGCTCCCTGCTGAGCAAAGCTGGGGCAGAGCTCTGTGGCGGAGGGAGGTCCCAGCCCAGCTCGCGGAAGGGAAAAAGGGCCAAGGAACCTCCGAGGAAAGGGGAGCACTGTCTTGGGGAGCGGAGGGGATCACAGCCCCTGTTCTCACTCTCAGCCCATCTCTCATCTCCAGGGCAGGTAAGGATCCCTCCCTCCGTGGCCAGCCAGGCTCTCCCAAGCCAGGTGGGAGGGAGCAGAGCGTGCCCAGCCCCAGGTGCTGCATCTCCAGGACAGACCCTGAGCGAACCGGGCAGCTCGCCCTCGCCCTGCATCCTCACCCAGGTCCCGGTCCGTGGCCAGCACCTGCAGCACGGGGCTGCCAGCCGGCAAGTTCTCCATGACGTGTGCTTCATACTCCGGTTTCTCAAAAGCGGGAGCCTCATCATTGACATCCAGCACCAGCACGGACAGGAGCTGCGTGGCGGAGCGGCGTGGGAAACCGTGATCCACGGCCACCACGGTCAGGTTGTGCTGCACCACCTCCTCCCTGTTCAGGGCCCGCACGATGGAGAGCGCACCTGCAGGCACGGGGAGAAGGGCGAGCTGGGGCTGGGCGGCGCTGGGGCCGAGCGGGCGCTGTGCTCAGGGCTCTCCGCATCCCACGAGTCTCCCCGCTTTGGGTTCCCAGCCCCTGCCCTCCCGCCGCGCACCACGCTGCGCCCCCGTGCAC